GATGAAAGGCGGCATCGTGAGAAGCAAGAGAGAGTTAAGACGATCAACATGTTGGCCGATACTGATATGTCCTTGAAGGTGGCCGGAGAAGATCTAAAGGAGATGGAAGATGCAAAGAAGAAGGCCGAAGTAATGATATTCATGGCCGAGCGGAGGGCTACAGATGTCGATGCTACTCTGAAGTCTTTAAAGGCTAATTATCAAGGGATGGTGGACAAAGCCGAACAGAAGGGCTATGACGAGGCCGAAAAGACCTATTCTGAAGAGATTTTGAAACTGAGGGACAAGATCTTTACTAAGGGTTGGACTAGGGCTCTACGCGCTGCTAAGGTAGAAGAGGCTTCTCCTCTTTATAATATTGACGATATCCCAGTCCCTTCAAAGACCGCTACAAGGGTTAGGATGAGAAGGCCTCGGGGGAATGGAGCTATGGATGTTGATCCTTCTGGCCTTTCTCCTTTCCTGCCGAGCTCTTCCTTAGTTAGACAGACTGTCAATCCTACAAAGGAAGAGCATCGCGAGAATGGACACTACGAGGAGGAGCAACGCGAGGAGTAAGTTGTTAGGTTGCCTCGAGTTTTTGCTTTTACTTTTGCTTTAGTAGTTCTTTTGTAATGAAACTTGGAGGTTAATGAAATATGTTCAACTTTTGCTTTAGTGCTCGGTTGGATAGGCTATGATACAAACCGAGCTCTCTTTTGTAATGAAGAACCTTCTAAATTTGCCTAGTGTTGAACTTGCAACTTGTACTTTTTTATTTGTCTTGCAGTTCAGTTGACTGGACCTCTTCTTTTGTTAGGCCGAACTCTTTTTTGTAATTGAAGTTTCTTCAATGCACTCATTCTAACATTTTCACAAGTGTTGAACTGCTTATCTTCAATTTTTACTTGTATGTAATGTTTGCCCCCGGCCGAGCAGACAGAGGCTCTATGGCCTAGCAAGCCATCTGTTAGGTCTGATCAGGCTTTGTGCCTTAGAAAAAATTAAGTGAGTTTTTGATGCCCCCAGCCGAACATGAGCTCTGTGGCTCAGAAGGTTGTCTGTTCGGTTAGACCATGCTTCATACCTTAGGAGAGAAAAAATTGTGAAAGTTTTTTATCATGTTGTTCGGCTACCACCTGACTTGGTCAAGTTTTGGCGTGATTTAACCCATCGTAGAGTGTAATTCTGCCCTTCTTCGACCGCGAATTGTGAATATGGACTGTGCTCCAAGTAACGATACATGGCACAAATTCCACCAAGTTATACCACTTGGCACCCCGCTCCAACCAAAGGGCCGAGCATCCGGGATTAGCTTGAGTTAAGACCCGTGGCCAATTTGCTCCACCAAGCATAAATGTACAACACAAGTAAATAAGGACAAACTGTAAAATAAATTTCCATTCATTGATACTTGTAACTTTTGATTACATCAAGGCATGTTCTGAGAAATACATTATTGTAAGTACTTCATCTTAAAAATCACATCACTGGAAGTACTTCTTTAGGTTGGCGACGTTTCATGGTCTAGGGATTGTCTTTCCTGATAAGTCAGCCAGATAGTATGCATCATTGCCAAGTGCTGAAGTAACCTTGTAGGGCCCCTCCCAGTTAGCACCGAGTTTTCCTTTTCCAGGAACTTTCTTGTGATCCATCACCTTCCTGAGTACCAAGTCACCTGGTAGGAATTGCCTTGGACACACATTCTTGTTGAAGCTCTTAGTGAATTGCTGCTGGTAAGCCGCCAATCGAATGAGGGCAGCTTCCCTACGCTCTTCGGCCATGTCCAGAGCTTGGGCGATGGCTTCATCATTGTCTGCTGGCTCAAAGATCTCAGAATGGATGGTAGGAAGGCCAATCTTCAAAGGGATGACTGCTTTCATCCCATAGGTAAGAGAGTAAGGTGTCTCACTGGTTGACCGGCGAGGAGTAGTTCGGTAGGCCTAGAGGGCGTTCGGTATCTCTTCCACCCATTTGCCCTTGGCTTTTTCAAGACGCTTTTTTATCCCATCAATGATCGTCTTATTGGACACTTCAGCTTGGCCATTGCCCTTTGGGTAGGCCGGAGTGGAGTTTCGGAACTCTATCTTCAAGTCAGCGCAAAATCTCCTAAAGATCTTGCCATCAAATTGTGTGCCATTGTCAGAGAGAAGGACTCTAGGAATGCCAAATTGAGTCACAACATTGCGCCAAACAAACCTCTTAGTGTCTGCTTCTTTGATCTTGCACAAGGCCTTCACTTCCACCCACTTGGTGAAGTAGTCAGTTGCAGCGATAAAGAACCTTTTATTCCTAGTTTCCCTAGCTAATGGTCCAACAATGTCTAAGCCCCACTGAGCGAATGGCCAAGGACTGGTGATGGGGGTTAGAGCTTTGGCTAGCTGGTGAATGAGAGGAGCAAACTTTTGGCACTTGTCGCACTTGCGAACATACTGTTGGGCCTCCTTTTGCATGCGCGGCCACCAATACCCTTGTGTTAGTGCTAGGTGTGCCAAGGACTGACCACCAATGTAACTCCCACAGATTCCAACATGGATCTCATAAAGCACATCTTCCACCAGACTTGGATGAACACAGAGTAGATAAGGGCCCATGTAGGACTTCTAGTAAAGCTTGCCAGATGGGGAGACCCAAAACCGAGTAGCTCTATGCCTTGTCTTGTGCGCTTCTTTTTTGTCCTCAGGAAGGGTGCCATTCTTCAAGAAAGCCAAGAGTGGGTCTATCCAACTTGGGCCGAAGTTAGTGCAGAGGACCATTTCGACTAGTTAAATACTTGGTTGGGGTTCATATTCCACCCATATTTTGCAGCCGTCTCTGGAGTCAACCGAGGAACCCAGGCAAGCTAAAGCATCAGCGTGACCATTTCCCTCTCGGCCAATCTTCTCGACTCTGATGGCTTGGAACTTTCTGATCAAATTTTTGGCCTTTTCTGCATAAGTGGCCATCCGCTCATCGCGATCCTCATAAACTCTGGAGAGTTGGTTGACCACTAATTGGGAATCACTAAAGACGAGTAGCTCATCCGCGTTGAAGTGTTCGGCACTTCGCAGGCCGGCTAGTAGAGCTTCATACTCTACTTCATTATTAGAAGCTTTCCAACCCAATCAAATGGCCTGCTCCCACATGAATCCTTTAGGAGAAATAAGGACAACTCCTGCCCCTGAGCCTTTTTGGTTAGAAGAACTGTCCCCAAACAACTTCTATACATCTCCAACAAAAAGTTTCCATGCTTTGGCTGGGGATTGCCGTTTGTGCTGGGCAGTCATAGTGACCAAAGCTGAGCTCCCTTCGGAGGGGACAGCTGGTCCCGGGGTGAATTCTGCAACAAAGTCTGCCAGGACTTGAGCTTTGATGGCTGTTCGAGGTTGGAACTTGATAGCAAACTCTTCAAGCTCCACCTCTCACTTTGCTATTCGGCCTGAGAAATTTGCTTGATTGAACACTGAATTGAGGGGGAATTCAGTGAGAACGTTAATGGTATGCCCTTGAAAGTAGTGAACAAGCTTCCTATAGGCAATTAATAGGGCATATGCCAATTTCTCCAATGGCAAGTATCTAGTTTTGGCATCTAAGAGAGTCTTGCTAACATAATACATTGGTTTTTGCTCCTTTCCACCTCTCTGACCAGCACTGCACTAACAGCATGATCAGAAACAACCAAGTAAAGGATAAGCTCTTCGTTGGCAACAGGTGTAGATAGAAGAGGAGGAGAGGAAAAATACTTCTTCAAATCTTCTAGTGCTTCGGAGCACTGGCTTCCCCCATTCAAAATTGGTTTTTTTCCTTAGAAGTTGGAAGAAGGGCTTCATCCAATCAGAAGACCGACTGATGAAACAATTAAGTGCTGCAGCCATGCCAACAAGTTTCTGGAGTTCCTTAGCCTTTGTAGGCACTTCGAGGTCTTGGAGGGCTTTGATTTGGTTGGGGTTGGCTTTAATGCCCCGCCTAGTCACCATATACCCCAAGAACTTCCCTAATCCTACTCCAAAGGCACATTTTGAGGTGTTCAGTCGAAGCTTGTGAGTCTTCAGAATTCCAAATACTTGCTCAAGGTCCCTTAGATGGTGCTCAGCCAACTTGCTTTTGACGACCATGTCATCAATGTATGTTTCCATGGTTTTACTGAGCTAGTCCTTGAACTTTTTGGTGACCCTTCGCTGGTAAGTCGCACCAGCGTTCTTTAAGCCGAAGGGCATCACTTTGTAACAGTAAGTGCCTCTAGGGCTGATGAAAGCCGTTTTCTCCTGGTCAGGACCGAACATGGGGATTTGGTGGTAGCCACTGTAGGCGTGTAGAAAGCTCATGTACTCATGTCCAGCCGTTACGTCAACAAGTTGATCTATTCGTGGAAGAGGGAAGCTATTCTTGGGGCAAGCTTTGTTAAGGCTAGTGAAATCAATGCAGACTCTCCATTTTCCATTCTTCTTCTTCACCACGACGGTGTTGGACAGCCACTTTGGGTACTGCACTTCTCGAATGACTCCAGCATCTAAGAGTTTGTCCACCTCTTCGATCACTGCATTGGTGTGTTGCGTGGATGACCGTCTACTCTTCTGAACAACCGGTCACGCTCCTAATTAGACGTTGAGTCAATGACAAGCAAAATTGGGGTCCAACCCAGGAGTGTCATAGGCCGACCAGGCGAACACTTTGATGTTTTTACGGTGTAGAGCCAGTAATTGCTATTTCTCTCCAACAGTGAGGGAAATGCCAAGCAGGAAGAACTTGTCTAGGTTTCCTTCTTCTACCAAGACTGTCTCTAGGTCTTCTACCATCTTCTCGGTTGGCATTCCGCCGACGTCTTCCAAAACTGGCTGGTCAGGTACTTTCACCATCTGCACTTGGTCGCAAACTTGTTTGGTTTTCATGGCGGCAATGAAGCAGTGTTTGGCCGCCATTTGGTCTCCGCGAATCTCCTCTACTCCATACTCGGTTGGAAAACGAATGATTTGGTGATAGGTGGAAGGGACTGCCTCCATCTGGTGAATCCAAGGTCGGCCAAGGATGGCATTGTAGGGAGATTAGGTGTTTACCACCAAGAAGTCAACAGAAACCACCTTGGACTTAGCTATGGCAGGCAGAGTTATTCGGCCGAGCGGCCATTCTGTTTGCGAATTGAAGCCAACTAAAGGGGAGGTGGCAGGTGACAGGTGTTGCTCATTGAGGCCAAGCTTATTGAAAAGCTCATAATACATGATGTCTGCGGCACTCCCTTGGTCAATCAAGACTCGTTTCACATCGAACTTGTTGGCCACACCAACTGTAACGATGAGGGCATTGGTGTGGGGGTGCTGGATTCTCTCTAGGTCCTTCTCGGTGAACACGATGTTAAACCGAGAAGGTCTGGCTTCTGTCTTGGATTTTTTAGGAGGAGGTCCTACCGACATTACCTGTTGAATGTGGGTGGCTTGTTGGATTTCTCCTCGAATGGTGTTTTCTCTCTCGGGGTCAGTCATTCCATGGATAACGTTGATGACCAACCTCGGGGCATGGTTCTCTTCAGGAGGGGGTTGGTCTAGTCCTTGTTTTTCCCACGTCTTATCAACGTCTATCCATTGTTGGAGGTGTCCCGCCGTAACCAAGTCCTCCAAGTGTTGTTTAAGAGCTCTACAATTTTGCGTCTTGTGTCCCTTCTCTCGATGATAGGTGCAACGCAGTGTTTGATTGCACCGAGTAGGGTCTCCAGACATTTTAGCTGGCCAGACAAAAAAGGCTTCCCCTTTAAGTTTCTCGACGAGCCTATATATCGGCTCTTTGAAGACGGTAGTGATGCCTTCATAAGACTTAGTCCTTTCCTCTTCATTTTCTACTGTGGAGCGGTTCCTTTGGCCATAGTTCTTGCGCTGCTCATCCCTCCTTCGCTGCTCAGTCCTAGATGGTTGAGGCAGTCTGACTTCTTCTTCAGCAACCGTAACATGTACTAAAGTAGCGTCATCTTCCACACAAGCTTGTTGCTCTATTCGAGCCCTCAAATCATTCATGGTGGGGGCAGGTCGTTTTGTCAATGACTGCCTTAGCTTGTGCGAAGGAGGTAGGCCTTGCTTGAAGTATTTTCCTTCAAGTTGCCATATTCCACCTAATACCGTGGCGCGTACTAGCATAGGGTCTCTTTCTTGTCCTTTCGGATATTTAACAAGGTATTTAACTGCTTCGGGACTCTACTGTTGGAGACAAATCGGGCTAAGAACGTCTCAGAGAGCTGCGTCCAATCATAAATCAAACCACTGGGGAGTTTGTCAAACCATCGAAGGCCAAGATCTCTTAGGCTAGAAGGGAAGACTTTACACATAAGCGCGGCGATGCGGTTCCAAAGGGACATCATCTGGCGGTAATGGCTAATGTGAGTTAGAGGGTCCGTATTCCCATCATAGAGAATGAATTTCGGTGGGCTATACTTCCGTGGAGGTTGTATAGCTTCTATCTCTAGGGAGAAGGGGGTGGACACCAACCGATCTAGAGCGCGACGCTTTTGTTGGTGTATGGACTGGTCCAACTGGTCCCTTTCCCTATTGAGCTGACGTTCCTCCTCTGCATAGCCGTCATGCCTCCCCTGCATAGCCGTCGTGCCTCTTCTCTATTATCATTCAGCCAACTTCTCGTCGCGACGGCAATGAAAGATTTCAGATAGGCGACTAACAGTCCTTTGCCTTTTACGAGAATTCTCTAGTGGGTTATTTTTTTGTAGGTTCTTTGTCCTACTGCTAGCCCCTTCACTACGTACCGGAATCGGCCGGCTACGCTCTCTACGAGCAGGGCCACGGCTGGAGTGCTCCTTGTGAGGCGGCGGGGTCACGACCCAAACCCGGCCCTATGGGTTTAGCACCGTAACCGGCCAGTAATCCGAGATTACCGAAGGCCTGCAGAACAGTAATACAGTAAAACAGAGTACAGGGCCTGGCGGAAGCCAATACAGTAAATAAATAATGTCCATTGAGCTGTGACAGTCTATATGAAAAAGACTTTCATACGTGTATATAAAACCAGTACAGAACAGTATGTACAATATTTACAATCATTCAGACTAGGGACTCAACCCTATATAACAGTACGGTATACATTCAGTCTATACAAAACAGTGGGACGGTACAGAAACTATAGGAATACAATTCACATCAGTCTTAACACTATCATCAGTAGACACAGTCAGCACAGAACACAGATATCCTTTACACCCCTTTCTAATCAGTTTAACAGCTTTCACAGATGAAATCAGATACGGGGGAGGTACTACTCCAACCCCATTAAACACAAATTCAGGCAAACCAGGTGGACGGAAAACAACTTGCTTGGTCACACAGTCAATAGTGGCATGATATTTTTGTAACCAATCCATCCCCAATATTACATCAAAATGATCAATGTTCAATGGCAGTAAATCAATAAACAGATGCATATCCCCAACCGGACAGGATTCTTCTCGGGTTCCCTTGTTGGAACCACTACTATTACTGACTGATGGCCATCATTACTGTTCGGTCTTTTAAGACCTACTGTTTACTGTACTGTTATTGCTAATGGGTGTACCACATATGACTGTACTGACTGAATGACTGAATACTGTTTAAATGGACTGTTTTCATACTGTAAGGACATTCATTCTTTAACCTCTTTACGCATTATGTTATTCACTGGGCTTTAGCTCACTGCTCATATATATATGTAGGTGTACAGACACCAGACCGCGGCTAGAGCGTCAGGGTAACTCCAGTTTTGTCAAGCCAACTACTGTGCCTCACTGCGAGGTTCCGTGCCTATCGTGTTAAGGCTTAGGGGTGTTTTACAATTTCCCCTTCTGTACCGTCCCACTGTTTTGTATAGACTGAATGTATACCGTACTGTTATATAGGGTTGAGTCCCTAGTCTGAATGATTGTAAATATTGTACATACTGTTCTGTACTGGTTTTATATACACGTATGAAAGTCTTTTTCATATAGACTGTCACAGCTCAATGGACATTATTTATTTACTGTATTGGCTTCCGCCAGGCCTGTACTCTGTTTTACTGTATTACTGTTCTGCAGGCCTTCGGTAATCTCGGATTACTGGCCGGTTACGGTGCTAAACCCATAGGGCCGGGTTTGGGTCGTGACCCCGCCGCCTCACAAGGAGCACTCCAGCCGTGGCCCTGCTCGTAGGAGAGCGTAGCCGGCCGATTCCGGTACGTAGTGAAGGGGCTAGCAGTAGGACAAAGAACCTACAAAAAAATACCCACTAGAGAATTCTCGTAAAAGGCAAAGGACTGTTAGTCGCCTATCTGAAATCTTTCATTGCCGTCGCGACGAGAAGTTGGCTGAATGATAATAGAGAGAGGGCACGACGGCTATGCAGGGAAAGAGAATGTCGACGAGATAGCGAGGAGGAACTCCGGCTCAATAGGGAAAGGGACCAGTTGGACTGGTCCGTACACCAACAAGAGCGTCGCGCTCCAGATCGGTTGGTGTCCACCCCCTTCTCCCTAGAGATAGAAGCTATACAACCTCCACGGAAGTATAGCCCACCGAAATTCATTCTCTATGATGGGAATACGGACCCTCTAACTCACATTAGCCATTACCGCCAGATGATGTCCCTTTGGAACCGCATCGCCGCGCTTATGTGTAAAGTCTTCCCTTCTAGCCTAAGAGATCTTGGCCTTCGAGTTTGACAAACTCCCCAGTGGTTTGATTTATGATTGGACGCAGCTCTCTGAGACGTTCTTAGCCCGATTTGTCTCCAACAGTAGAGTCCCGAAGCAGTTAAATACCTTGTTAAATATCCGAAAGGACAAGAAAGAGACCCTATGCTAGTACGCGCCACGGTATTAGGGGAATATGGCAACTTGAAGGAAAATACTTCAAGCAAGGCCTACCTCCTTCGCACAAGCTAAGGCAGTCATTGACAAAACGACCTGCCCCCACCATGAATGATTTGAGGGCTCGAATAGAGCAACAAGCTTGTGTGGAAGATGACGCTACTTGTACATGTTACGGTTGCTGAAGAAGAAGTCAGACTGCCTCAACCATCTAGGACTGAGCAGCGAAGGAGGGATGAGCAGCGCAAGAACTATGGCCAAAGGAACCGCTCCACAGTAGAAAATGAAGAGGAAAGGACTAAGTCTTATGAAGGCATCACTACCGTCTTCAAAGAGCCGATATATAGGCTCGTCGAGAAACTAAAGGGGAAGCCTTTTTTGTTTTGCCAGCTAAAATGTCTGGAAGACCATCTCTCTCT